TCATCGTTAGTGGAAAAAGTGGGCTTGAAGAATACCTTCTCTGTGGGTATGCCGTTGGGACGACCACTGAGAAGGAGGCCGTTGTGACTGCCTGAACTCATCAGGATTGTTTTTCCTAGCGTCCTGTTGTAGCAAAATCTACTCTGGTAGCACTAGGTCAGTTGGAATAATAGCCATGAAACCGTTAGAGCAGATTGTGCTCTGGCTAGATGTCTCCTGAAATTTCACTGTAGACGTTAGCAATCAGAACGCCTTTGTATTAGTGGCACTCGTACATCATGGTACTTCAGGATGGACTTATCTATTAGAGAACAGTGTTGTGGATACCCAGCTGCATGACTCCCAGCTGTATGCTTAATGCACTTTTGGTGAAAGACTGTGGTATTCGGTACTTTGCCCGCGCATATTATAACCAGACTTACTTAATTCTGTTGCAGGTAGCTTTGATTTTACTACTACGCCACCTAGCGGATCCTACTAAACTAAGTAAAAAGCTAGCGTATTTTTGCAAAACTTTGAGTTTATTTATTGCCATAGTTGTAAATTTTTACAAAAAAAACTATACTTAAACTATCTAGGAAGTGTCAAGAATCGGTAAGCAAAATTTCAGCAAAATTGGTTGAATAGTATTCGCGGTTAGCGATTATAACGGTTTTAGCGATTTTGCTTCAAATGTTAGTAAGACATAAAACAAAATTAACAATTCAAATATGTGTGTTAAAAAACATGTTTAATCTTACTGAGTCCGAGAATTGAACTCCAAACCTTCGGATTGGCAGTCGGGGACCTTATCGATTGTGCTGCGCAGTACGCCAATCTGATCTCTGTTCTTATTACTTATGAATACCAACTGAGAAACTTCTGATTCAGAAAATTGATTAATAATTGGGCGTTTTTGTATATTATATGTGATTAAGCTCACTGGTTGCGAATAAAATGGCTGTTATTATTTTGAAGCGGTTGACTAATGTTTAAATTGTGTTTTAAAGTTCGTTTAGCTTATATCATCTTGTAACAGTTAGAGATACAGAAAAAATAAAAATACTAGCTTCAAGGGCGAACATTTTTTTATCAATGATGTCTGTTGTCGCGCTCTCTTTTTCTACTTTATTCATAGAGATAGGCGTTTTCCATTTTTTTTTAATATTTTGCGCTTCTAGAAGATCATCAATTAATATTAAAATAACTATTATTTCTTCATTATTAAAAAAAATTTTTTTCTTCGTGAATAGGATAATGTTAAATTCCATGTTAACCTGCCTTCAGTAAAGAGCCAACGAAGCTTGTGCACGTGTGTAACTACCCACAGGTATCCGAAAAGAGACAGAGAGACAGATAATCTAAGACACATGGACGTACTGTAAACATATTTATGTACCTATGTGTAATTAGGTAGCTTAGAGTATGTACTACTGGAGTAATCATGCAGACGGCTAAAAGCATGACACGGTGACCGAATGTAAGTACTACCTATCTCTCTCTCTCTCTCTCTCTCTCTCTCTCTCTCTCTCTCTCTCTCTCTCTCTCTCTCTGCGTAAATTGTGTGACCTCAAAGCTGAAATCTGTCGTTCACGCTGCTTCGGATAGGGCAGCTTGCCCGCTGTTGTTGAGATTGATTGATCGTCAAATTTCTTCGACAAACTATGTCACGTAAATCTAATTTACTAAAAGTGGCACATTTTAACATACAATCTATTGAACCGCATTTTCAGGAAATTAGATCGATCATTCTTGACAATTGTTTCCATGTTCTTGCTGTCAGTGAATCTTGGCTAAAGCCGATTAAGCATTTTGGCCAGTTCGATATTTCGGGTTATATTCTTGTTCGTCAGGACAGGCTCTGTAAGGGTGGCGGTGGTGTTGCAGCTTATATACAAGATTCTATCAAATTTCGTGATGTTTCTCGTTCGGCTCGTGCTGATACCTAATCTCTCCGACCTGAGTTTCTGTTGCTCAAATTATCTGTCTTGCAACTCAAGTTTCTCTGGATTATCGTCTAAGAGCGGCTATTGGTCAGACGTTGAGGACGCTGCCCCAACCCTTAATGGCCAACTGCTCTAGATCGGCGATACTATTAAGCTGCTTGAAGTCACTTTTGACTATACCCTTTCTTGAGGCCCTTTTGCTGCTTAAACCTCTCAAAAGAGTTATGTTGCCCTCGCACGTCTTCGGAGATGCCGTGATGCCTTGCCCCGTTCAATTCACCTGAATATAGTTAGTGCCCTCGTGTTTCCTTACTTTGATTCCTAATTCAGCATTGCGTTGAACTTATCAGGGGTTTTGGTCACTAAGTTGTCACGTTGCAGAAATGCTGCCTTGAGATTTGTCTCTGATGTTGGTCGTTCCGAACATATCACCCCTGTATACAGAGCACTACGTATACTGCCTTTTACTGAGCGACGTTTGTACCTTTCGTTATGCCTCTTGGTCTCAGTTTTGCGATGTGGCCTGCCAGAGTACCTTGCTAAACAACTCCAGTTTAGGCCTTTTGGAGCTGGTGGCTCTCTTCATCGCTCCCAGTTTGATTTGGTGATCCCGTATGCGAGCACCTCTTACTATTAAAATGCATTCCGCGTGGCTGATCCACGACTGTGGAATGGTCTCATGCATGATCTGCGCCGATGCTATGATCGGCCCTGTTACAGGTACTTCATTGAGAAGACGTTTGGTCACCTGTAGCTTATGATGGTTTCGCTCATGACGCGTTATTATATACTAAGTTGTTATGTTTTCATTTTTGATTTTTGTTTTCTTTTTCTTATAATATATATTTTTTATGGATATGTGTATGTAGATGTATGTATATGTGCGTATGTATATGTACATATATGTATTTTCTTCTTTTTTATGTTCATTTTTTTTTATTTTTGTTATATCTTTGTTTATCATTTAATAATGTGAATTTTGTTAGGCTGGTGCCATTGTAGTGGCTAAGTCATTTTGTTTCTATAACAAGTACACTATGCCTTGGCGTTGTAGACCTTGAGTCCATTGTCGATTAAATAAATTAAACTCAACTCAACTCAACTCTCTCTCTCTTAAGCCAAATTGATATTCTTTCTCATTCTCGTAGTTTATATGTTAATGAATAAAAAAAATAAAAAAATAAACATAATTCAGAATTCGCTTTTTTCTAACCTATAAAATTTAGTATCGGTAAATAAACTCTTTTTAATATAAAAAATATGAAGTGAAGATTATTGAGGGGG